ACGTTTAATGAATATTCCACACAACCAACCCTATCAATTGTGGATGACTGAAAAATGGAGGCAGACATAAATTTTGTCATTGCGACATGTAGCGACGGTGAATTTATCGCTTTTTATAAATTTCTAATATTAGTTAGGTCGAAATCTTTCACAGCATATATTTTATAGCATTGTCAGTGACTTAGTTATTAAACTAAAATTGTTACTCATATTTTGTTCAATAACTTAATTAGTAACCAAATTGGACTGAAATTCCCAAAAATTATGCTATTTTTATGACCATGGATTAATATGAAAACAACGAGGGAGGATGATTGGTGCGAGAGGATTGTACGTTCGCGCTTTTATTGCAAATAGACTTAATTTTATTTTTTTATTTATTACTTTTATCTTTTTGTTTCAAATTATCATAATACCGTGTTTTTGCTTTAACATTGGTTCATTTGTCATTTTTACTATCAAAATCCAACCAACATAGGCTCTTATATGTGTTTAATATCGCTTAAGTTGTCATAGATGCTGAGGAAAAAAAAAAAATCCATCCAAAACATCTTTCAAGTCCAAATTGCAATTANGCATCTCTAGTTGGGAAACAGACGTCACGTCATCTTAAGTTGTCAGTCATGTTGCCAAAAAGTAACTCTAAGTTAGAGTTTTTTTTTGGCAACGACAGAAATATATTGCACGAAATATACAAATGTACAAATCGACAAGCCAACTAGCTAAGCACCAGGCAAAACCCAAGGAGAACCGCAAGTTAGGGTTTGATTTGTCAAATTGAGAAAAGGTTGGAATTTGTTTGCAATTATTAAAAATTTGAAATAAAGTACAATTATGTCTATAATCTATGAGCATGCGCGCAAATTCATTGAGTGCATATCAGATTCAACTAGAAAATTCGAAAATAATCTAATTTTCTCCAACAATAAATTGAATACTAAGAATAAAATTTACCAAATAATGTGTTTCAACCATTGGCTAATCAGAGATTCCAATTTTTTTAAAAAAGAAAAAAGAAAATAAAATATTTGAATGGGCCTACTAGTATTGAACAAATTCAAAATAAAATTTGCATTCGGCAATATTATAGTCATATTTGAATGGGCCTACTAGTATTGAACAAATTCAACTATATATAAATTTCAGCCATTAAGGAATGGGCCCAATCGCCCGTCACGTCTATGGAAATCGGTGTCTATGAAGAGATTGACAAACCTACTCAGAATGTCGTTGGGATTGAATGGCAAGAAAACAATAATTTCAGAAATGTCAATTATTAGGTTGTGATTGGATTTTTTTTCTCAATCGTTATTCACCGCCCCCTTATTACTACTCACCGCCCCTCCCTTAGACAATTTTGCCCCTGGCATTTTTTTCAAAAAGTAAAAAAAAAAAAAAAAATTTGTCCGGCCGCCGAAACCGGACGGCCCAAATGGCGTCCGGCCCCGACGGCCGGTCGTGACCGGTCCGACCGGCCGGACACATGTTTTTTTTTTTTAATTATATATATATATATATATAAAATAATATTATTATAAATTATTATGTTATATATTCAAAATAATTTGTTATA